ATGAAACGAAGTTGAACCTAGGAAACGAAGTTGAACCTAGGAAACTAAGTTGAACCTATTCAGACGAAGTTGAACCTATTCAGACGTAGTTGAACCTATTGAGACGTACTTAAACCTATTGAGACGTAGTTGAACCCACTATCACTTAGTTGAACCAACATAGAAATATTAGCTTAACATATCAAAATGTATTTGAATCTGGTTTACCTCGTATTACATTCTTAGACAATATTCTACTTAGTTCTCCCAATTGTCCACACATCACTAATTCACCCTAACACATTTTCATCTATTCTCCAATATCAATCTCAATTTCAAGGTAAGAAAAATGCATAAGACTTCTAAATAATACCTTTTTTCTCAAGACCAGTCTCTTTTTCTTGCTCTTCTTTGAGAGGAAGCTCTTTTTCTTGCACTTCTTCATGAGCAAGCTCTTGGGGATCATAATTTAATGGTTCTCCTTCAAACAATATCATAGCTAAATCAAATTCAATCTCTCTTGGAGTTTGTGCGGCTTCTATTGGTGCTTCTGGGGTTGGTGAAGCCGTTGTTTCTGCGTCAGCTTTAGGAGGATGAATGTCCCCCGCGATTACTCCTTCTATTGCTCCTTTTGTTGCTCCTTCTGTTGCTCCTTCTGTGGGAGGAACAAATTCTGCAGTTGCTACGACGATTTCAGGAGGAGTAATGTCCAATGCAGCTCCTTCTATTTCTGTTGCTCCTTCTGTGGTTGCTGCGACGGTTTCAAAAGGAGGAAAGTCCAATGCAGCCCCTTTTGTTTATGTTGCTCCTTCTGTAGTTGCTGCGGTTTCAGGACGAGGAACGTTCAATGCAGCTCCTTCTGTTTCTGTTGCTATTTATGTGGTTGCTGCGACGGTTTCAAAAGGAGGAACGTCCAATGCAGCCCCTTCTGTTTTTGTTGCTCCTTATGTGGTTGCTGCGGTTTCAGGACGAGGAACGTCCAATGCAGCTCCTTCAGGTTCTGTTGCTCCTTCTGTGGTTGCTGCATTTTCAGGACGAAGAACGTCTAATGCGGCCCCTTCTGTTTCTGTTGCTCCTTCTGTGGTTGCTGCGGTTTCAGGACAAGGAACGTCCAATGCATCTCCTTCAGTTTCTGTTACTTCTTTTGTGGTTGCTGCGGTTTCAGGACGAGGAGGAAGGTCCAATGCAGCTCCTTCTATGGGAGGAGGAACAACTTCTGTGGTTGCTGTGATGGTTTCAGAAGGAGAAAACCCGAATGGGTTTGTAATTGTTTAGATATTTGAAGGACAAAATTGGATTTGCACACTTTTTATATTAAAGATAAATCTGAAAAAATTAATTTTTATAATGGTGGCATATCAAGTGCGCTTTATTTCTTCTCTATATCTTACTATAATCAAAACCCTCATTCTTCTCTCTTTTCATTGTCGTTTGTTCTTCTCCAACCTAGTATTAGTTACTCCTTATTTCTACAATTCGCTCAACTTTTCTTCTTAAGAAGCCAAATTTACAAGCCTCCATTCACATATAACAATACTCTAAAATTCCACAAATTGGGTATCAGAGATCTAAAAGATTCCACTATCAATAGCTCTTCCACTATCAAGTCCATCAACAATATTACTTGAGGCATAGGCAAAGGATCTCAAAGATTCATCACCAATAAAGTGACGAGGAATGGTTTGGAGAAAGAGAAGACTGCTTTAGGCGCTTAGGCACATGGTTAGATACAAAGTGCTTTGTATGTGTTGATTAAGTTGATGATAGTCTGAGAAATCATTGTTTTCTACAGACGCTTGCGGGCGCTTAGGCACATGGTTAGATACAAAGTGCTTTGTATGTGTTGATTAAGTTGATGATAGTCTGAGAAATCATTGTTTTCTACAGACGCTTGCGAGTGTGATGCATGCATAATGTTGTTTAGTTTAGGTTATCATGCTGGAAAACAGTCTTTACCCATTCAAGCAAAGATTTGATCCTAACTAGCAAAGATTTGAAGGTGTTCAATGAGCACACCTTTGTCGTTTCTAACTGATTTGTAAGCTATATAGTTCTGAATATATTAATGGTTATTATGGTATAGTATTGTATAGACGTAGTCATGTAGGGTAATAAATTGAATTCATATGAGGTATGTCTCCATATTCAGTATTTGTCGTAAATCTTTTCACCAACTGATTAGTGTTTTAAATTTACACATTTAACCTTTTTATTATACAGAGTTTCGGACTACTTGCTCTTCAACGCTTGTATTTGATAAATCTAGATTTGTGGGCTTTGAGACTCATATAACTCCAGTCTCTAGAGCCGTGTGTCATACGATCCAGGTTTCTAATTTCTTCACCAAAGATACTTACTTATGCTTTATATATTTCTGTAAATTAACAGAAACAAAAATATGTGGATCAGGATTGGGGATTCGACTTTGCTAAGGTATGGACTGAGGTACTAAAGGATAATACACGTGTTGCTTAGTGTTATACAATGTATTTTGGGCTTAATAATAAAAGCGAGACTCATTTCAATTTTGTTGCAATCTAACAGCCTGCACATATAAAGAGTTGTAGATTCTAAATCAAATGTTCATCAAATGATGAGGATTTAAGAAGGTTTGATTTATATAATTTTTTTAAAGATTTCGCTTACCTCTGAGTTACTATCAGATAATTTTAGTGTCATTGAGAAAAGATATTGTTGGGATCGAACTGATGTTCCAATTCGATAAGGTAGTTTTAATGGTCATTATATGGTACTATGCTCATTTTCCTGGTAAATATTCACAGTTTTGAAAATATATCAAATTGCGATTTTTATTCATCATAATGTACACATTTATTCGTTTTTTTTTTAATTCTCAAAAAGTATGATTTACTTACAGTTTTTACTTCAAATCTCATAATTCTCTTTATATTATAGTATGGCAACTGGAAGTCAGCATCCACCATTGAAGATGAAAACTATAGCGATTCATTGATAGTCATGAACTATATCACCATATCAGATCAAAATTATGAATGAATTATGCTGCTCGACTCACAACCTATAAAAAAATATGTTTTCCAATTTAATATATGTGATAATTTTCTATTGGTTGTTTTTATTTGGTATTGAGAATTCAATAACTCAATTATAGAATTCATATTTATGTGTTATTAAAAGTTTTTGCACAATTTATCTTATGAACATTTTAAAATATGTACGCAGTATATAATATTTATATACAAAATATATAATTATTATAAGTAAATTAAAAAATTGCAGAACATACCCTAGTGAGATTGAAATTTGGGAAATAATGGATTTCAGCCATTGATCCAACAACGACATCGATTCATAATTTATAGACATACAAATTCGAATATCCTCAGATTCAGACGATTCGTACAAAATTCAACTTCGTCGATCAAAACCCTAGCTTCCTTCCTTCGCAATCCTCCTTTACCTATGGATTTCTTCAAATCAGTTCTCTCCGAATACGATCATCAACAACAACAACCACCCGATTCGCCAGATTCCACTCAATCTCCCTTCGAAGATCCCACAACTTCTTATTCTTCATGGAGCTTCGGAAACCTGATCAAAACCCTAGCAACCAAATCCGAGTCCGTAATCGGATCCTACCGTCGCGATTTCGAGGAATTCGGATCCGAATTGAAGAAAGAAACCTCCGTGATCCGACAAGTAGCTTCTCGCGCCGTCAAGGACTTACCTGACTCTCTCGAAATCGGTGCCTCCGTCGCTCAAGAGTCGCTCGAATCGGTGGGTCAAGCGATCGACGATATCGGCGCCACCGTTTGGAAATCAACGGCTAAGATCATTTCTCATGGTAAGGAGTCTCTGATATCATCTTCTTCTTCATCGGAAGATTCCGAAAATCGTAGAAATCCTCAGGGCGTATCTGTTAGACCGTATAGTCGATTCGAGATGCAATTGCTTGCGATTCAATCTGATAAAGGAACGTATGTTAGAGAACCTGATGATTTAGGGGATTTTGAGAATTGGGTTTTAGGGTTGGAGTTAGAGGAGAAAGAAAGTGAGATTGTTGAATTAATCAACGAGAACAAAGCTGTGAAAGAGATTTATGAGAAGATTGTGCCTACGGAAGTTGATGCTGAGAATTTTTGGTTGAGATACTTTTATAAAGTGTATAAGCTTGAGCAAGCAGAAGAAGCTAGAGTTAAGCTTGTGAATAGAGCTATTTCAGGAGAAGAAGAGGAGGATCTGAGCTGGGATCTTGATGATGAGGTAGATGAAGAAGAAGCCGAGAAAGGTTTAAAAAATGTGGTATTAGAGGAGGAGAAGGTAGAGAGCAGAGAGGTGTCGTCTAAGGACAGTGATATCTCGGTGATTTCTACGCAGCCTTCGTTACCTGAGGTTGAAGATCTTGGGTGGGATCAGATGGAAGAAGATATCAGAAGCAATGAGGATAAGAGTATAGAAGCTGGACAAGGGACTGTGGAGAAATCTGTAAGAAGACGAGTAAGTGTAGAAGAAGAAGACGAGGATATAACTTGGGATATTGAAGATGATGATGATGATGACGATGATGATCACTCTTGTAAACAATAAGCATGTGTACTTTGTGTTATATAGAAAAGGAATTCACAATCAGAGTGTGATCACAAGTCTGGAGTGAACCTTATGTGTTCAAAAATCTGATGTGTTCTTCAACAAGAAGAAACAAGGGATCGCTACATATCTATCATTCTTGTTTAGTTACAGGTAAAGAGCCAATACATTCTTTATACTCGCAAACAATTTGTGTAATACTCTGGTCCGATGAATGTAAATGAATTTGTACAATATCATAGATATGTCACAACTCAAAAAAAATACAACAGTTGTTCTAGTAACAAGTTACCATTAAGTGAAATCTTGTTTGAACATAATACTACAATATAATATAAGCGTTTTGTTTTTGTAGCTGAGTATTAGTATACATCTGCACTTTTGATAAGAGATCTCACATCTTTCTATGTATCTATAATTTGAGTACCAAGAAGAGCCGAGTCTTAGGAGGATTAGCGACTGCGAATGTAGAGGTACAAAGCCGTGGATGCAGCCACCACATACGGGAAGATTGTCCAAATTCCCTGCACAAAGATTTGAACCAAAACTTTGTGTCAAAGACTCAAAAGCTATTCAAATATGTTCTCTCTCTATCTCTTTCTCTATACTTACCACTGCAGTTGCTACTGTTGCAACAGCAAACAAGGGGCGTTCTCTAAGGAGAAACCCAATCACAAGCTGAACATTTATTAGATTTAGGATTCGCATTGCAACAAATAATCAAATCGAAATATAATGAAAACCAGAAAGAAACCTGAAGTGGAAGAGTAATCAAGCCACCACAACAAACTCCTGCAAAGAAACATTCTGGAGATATTCCCTGTGAAGATTCATGTTGATAAGTTTGAGTAAACAAACCATTTGCTACATATTGAATCAATACCGCGACACTTACAAGAGCACCGGCTAAGAATGCTGTAGGATTCCTCATTCCCAGAGAAAATCTTTCCACTGTTCATAGAACCAAACAGTAGCCACAGGAGATAATACATAGTCATTCATCACATTCTACAAAATCTTTCCTCTGCTTTCGAAATTGTAACTTACCGAAACCCGAGAGGTTTCCATACTTTTCCACGGCCTGAGTGATACTTAGCGCTTTCTCTTTACCTATACCGAGCTTTTGGGATGCGAAAAGTAGGAAAAGAATCAGCTTTTGGGATGCAAATTGTAATTGGAAGATAACAAGAATGGATTTCACCTAAGGGAAGTAACCTTTGAACAAACATCATCTGATCCTCCACTTTGTCTAAAGAGCTTCCCTAAGTAAAACGGTATCATATCGCTTATACAAACTCCCCTTTTCGAGTTTTTGCCAACAAAAACACCAATGAGTAAAGCTTGATGATGACTAAGAAACATAGAGGCTATGTTGTTTTAAACCAGAGATATTGTTTTTACCAGTAAACCCATGAGACTGTAGAAAGTATATAAGGAGCATTCCGAGAGAAAGACTCAGCAAATGATTGCCATGTCCCATCAAGAGTTAACATCTGAGCCAATGTTATTCCAACCTACACTCAACATTTAAGAGAAAACTCTCATCAAAATCTGACTAGAAGCAGTTTAATGAAGCATAGCCCGAAAAGAAAAGTACCGGCGTTAACCACAGACCCATATATTTAGAGCCTCTTCACTAACGAAAAGCCCGAACCCAGCCGCCATTAGCAACCAAAAGTAAACCCATCTGCAAAAGGAAAGACATACAATCTTGTTCATAAGAAAGAACGACACTTAAACAGCTAAAAGGTACAATCTTGTTCATAAGGAAGATTAACTACGAGCACTGTTACATTACCCCGGCGCATTTCTTGGAATTACGAATCTGTTTCCAAAGGCATTGAAAGTAAAGCCTACTGAAGAAGATGATGAAACTTTGGCTAGACTCTTAACCTCAAGAGGTGAACCACCAGAGCTTTTGAAGGTTACACATATAACTGTAATAATCAGAGCCAAGCCTATCCCCAAACCTAACTTAGCTATGAATGGGACTCTCTTCTTTTCAGAAACTATTGTGTTTTCTTTGTTAAGTATCTCATCAACATTTGGTTTCTCATCATCTTCACTATCTTGAGACTTTGCAGAGTCATTGTTTCCAACATTTTCTTTCTGAAAGCTTCTTACTTTGATCCTGCCACAATAAGAGGATGAGATGATTTACCTTCTTTTTTTTTGCTAATTCAAGTTAATTGGCATCTAAATCGACATAGCATTTTGATAGGCAACAAGAAAAAGGTTGAAGCAAAATAAGATCCTCAATTTCTTTCTTTGAACCAATTGATTTACCTACTCCAAGTTTATAAATTTATTCTGATAAACAATCAAATTCCGAAAAAGGGTGCCCAAATTCCACAATCAGAACATATCTAATCCCTTTCTATCTAAAATGATCGAAAATTTCAATGGAAGAAGTAATTATCAAGAAGTAAACCTGTAAGAAGAAGACTTTAGGAATAAGAGCCCTGAAAAAGAGAAGCTGTTTGCAGAACCGTACAGAACTCTGCTCCTCAAGACAACAACAACGTTGGGTTTCGGAAGGTTTACGGAAAACCCATTAACCGGAACCGCCATGGAAGACAGCATTTTGCTGGTTCTATGATTTTGGTTCTAATACGGAGAGGAGAAGAAGAGGTAACAATGTGTGATTTTTGATTCCACAGGGACCTTGTTTGAGACTTTGAGTGGTGATCGGCGATTCTAAAGATACGCATATTCTCTCTGTGATTCAAAGAGAGTCGATATATTGAACAATCTGTACCAGAAAATTCTGTGTCATGAAAAATTAAGTAAATATCTATCTATAATTAAACTTTTTCCCCTTCCGGTGTTACCACTCCACTTCAGTAATAACATTATTAATTATTTTTCATTTAAATTCTTTTTAGATATATACTAATATTAATATGTAATATAAAAAATAATAAATATTAAAAAAAATAGAATACACTAATTAACATTAATATTTAGGGATAATTATAATTTAACTTCCAAACTAAATTAATTTTATAAAATCAACTCACATAAAAAAAAAACAAATAAATATACATACTTTGAAGGTCATCCATAATTTAGCTCTTTCACATTTCTATTAATTTTTTTGACAATTGATTAAAAAAATAAATTCCAAAAATTCAAAACTAGATATTCAAACTTATAAACTTTGGAATAACTAAACAGCTCTTACTAAAATATGATAACTAAATTATTGTATATTACGAAACCAAAACACATATATTAGATAAATCTTAGTTGTTTTCTTTATCCTATTATTTTTTTCCCCTTTTCTTAACTCTTGGTTGCTCCTGCTTCTTCCATTCGAAGGGAATATTTTTTTTCTTCTTTACATTCTGAGTTTTGTGAATTTTTTATTTATGGAGGAATATACGAAATCATCTCAACTCCATCCTCTTCCAAAATTTGATCATTCCCAAAAAAATAAAAGGACATCAACTATAATCAAGCTTCTGAGTTTGTTTATGTTTCTGGGTTTACGTGTTGGTTGTTAATTCTAGTATTCGCACTAAGTAAAAATAGTTAAGCAGGAAATAAAATTCGAGGATTTTCTTAATAGATGTTTAATTAAAACGATAAGTACAAAAAGGGGAGCAAAAGATAGACTTGTTGAAGACTTTAAGTAAAAAAGAGACGGTTTGTTTTTCGAATTTTAGGAGTCGTCAAGCACGGGGTCGTCCAAAAGGAAGAAGGACGTCTTCTCTCTTTTGGAAAGAAGTCGAGTTCGGGAATGGGGATTTGTCGAGCGTACGAATCGAGAAAACTGTTTTTTCAATCTTAAAAAGATGTTTTGTCACATCAAAATATTGTGCTATTTATAGTACCTTGATGGTAGCGCCAGATGTCGGACCCGTAGACTTTCTCCACAAATGGGCTGAGTTATTCTTCGTAATTGGGCCGGGATGTCTTCTCCTTCTGTTGACTTCGGCTAATGGGCTTCCTTCAATATTTCTAAGTGAGCTGGGCCAATTTGGTGGGCTTTTAGGCCCAGTACCAACAGTAAGTCCCCCCAGTCCGTTGATGTCTCATATATTTACATCATTTAGGCTTGCATTTAGTGCATGTGTTGGTTATCTTTTGCATGTCTTCCTTATCTTTTGTCTTATTTTCTTCTCTTTTTAGACTTAGATTGTTGTTAGGGTATAGTTTGCATTTTTCTTGCATAAAAGATGTTTTTAGGTACTCATCGAGCTATGAGGAGCATGGATGAGCTTTGGGAGTTGACCAGGAAGCTAGCTGAGCAGAAATGAGCAAGAGGAACCAAGACAGACGATCTCTGCAGAGCCTATCGGTCATAGCACGAAGGCTATCGGTCAAGGAGTGACCGATAGAAGACCTATCGGTCATAGAATTGACCGATAGAAGAGCACCGTGTATATTTCGGTCAACCTATCGGTTACCTTCTAGACCGATAGGCCTATCGGTCAAACCTATCGGTCACCTTCCAGACCGATAGGATTCCAAACTGAAGACCACTTATTTACAATTTTGCCATTTTCGCTTGGATTCCTTTAAATACGAAAAATCTCTAATTTCTGGGAACAGTCTTTTATTGAGCAGTTCTTTCTTCTCTGTTTTAGCTTTGGGATTTTGTAATTTGAATCTTTGCTTGATTTTAATTAAAGTTTGCATTTATCTTCTTGTTTAATCTCTCTAATCATGATTAGTCATCTTTCTCTCTTTGAATTGATGGCTTTAATGGTGCTTAGTGAGTAGTCTTTTTAGAGATTTGAGATGGGTTTGGTTTAGAGAATTTGAGACTTAATCTATGATGTCTTAGTGTTAATCATTCCATTTTCTTTCTTGATTACTGTGTTTACTGCTTAATTAGCCCTAGCTAAATTATCTATGTTTGCTTGAATTAAGAGCTCTATTTGCATTCTTACTGCTACATTCCCCCCTTTTGGATTGATAAAACCCTATGCTATACTACAACTGATTAGTACAAGCTTGGGTGATTGACATCAAGACCTCAAAACTCTTGTATCAATTTGGTGCTGTTGCCATTAGGGGAATGCTTTGTTCAGTAGGATTTGTAGAGATCTTGAGATCAAGCTTTATTATTTTCGATTTTGGTTACCGATTTCTCTTTTGGTCTAGAATTTCTTTTGAAGGTACCACAACACTTGCTCTTAAGTGTCTACAACTACAACTGAGGTTCAAGGTTAAAGATTTTGGGTTTGCAGAACCAGAATTCAGTTGTTGAAGCATGGAAGAACATCATTATGCTGCTGGTTTTGGTTTGCAAGGTCCACAAGGTCTTCAAGGAATTCAAGGCTTACAAGGACAGCAAGGTCCACATGGTGTACAAGGAGCTTTGTTTTAAAGACCATTGAGACCTATAGGTGCTGCTGATATACCTTCAAGTTATGCTTCAAGACAAGGTATTCTCCCACCCATGGAGACTCATCACTATCAGATCAAAAGCAGCATGATCACTATGGTTCAAGAGCAGAAGTTCTTTGGATTGCCCAACCAAGACCCTCTTGAACATTTGGATCACTTTGAGAGGATATGTGCTTTGACAAAGCTTAGTGGAGTTTCATATGATGGTTTGAAGCTCAGATTATTTCCATTCTCTCTTGGTGATAGAGCTAAATTATGGGAAAAGTCCTTAGCATAAGGAAGCATCACTTCTTGGGATCAATGCAAAGTGCCTTCCTCAAAAAATTCTTCTCTCCCTCCAGAACCGCACACTTCAGGAATGAGATCACAAACTTCAAACAGTGGTCTACTGAAAGCTTTGGAGACACTTGAGAAAGGTTCAGAAGCTTCACTCACCAATGCCCTCACCATGGCTTCACCCAAGAGATGCTGCTCTCCACATTATACAGAGGTGTTCTCCCAACAATAAGAATCCTTCTAGATACTGCAAGCAATGGTTACTTTCTTGGTAAAGATGTTGATGAAGGATGGCTTCTAGTGAAGAACATGGCACTCAGTAATTGGGATTATGTTGATGATAAAGAGCAATACTCAAAGGCAACTGAAGAGAAGCTAGAGACAGCATTGTATGAGATGAGAGCCTTGCAGAAAAAAGTTAACTTGCTGCTCAATGAAACCACCAAACCTCTTTCTAGTGTTGCAATACCAACGCACTCAAAGGAGCATAAAGTCAAAGCTGTTCAACTACAGGAGGCGCCAACAATGCAACAAGACCATAATGTTTGTCCAACATAGTCCCAAGGAGACACTTACTCTCCCCAACATTCTGCATATTTTTCTCCACCAGCTGGTGCCAGCACCTCTCAAGCCTCTGAAACTTTGGACCTTAAGGAAATGTTCTTGCAAATGCAACCTTCAAACTGCAACACTTCAAAAGAGCATGACTGACATCCAGAAGAACATGGCTGTTGAAATACAAAGGAGCATTGACTCCAGCTTGCATTCTCAACTAGGAAATTTGAATATGAAGATCAGAAAACTAGAAATCATGGCTCAACCATCTACCTCTTCACTAACACAAGAGTGTGTCAAAGCTGTTACTTTAAGAAGTGGGAAGCAACTTCCACCAAGAGTGGCACCTTCTACACCCAATGTGGATATTGAGGTACAAGAAGAGGGGGTGGAGGCTAAAGATAATGAAGAAGCTTAAGAGGATGAAGTAGTTGAAGCTGAAAGAGGTTCACACAACACCAAAGCCAAAGAAGTGGTTAAGGAAAAACCAAAGGAAGCATCTAAGGAGTTGATCAAGGAACCAAGATACATCGCTCCTCTTTATCAGCCCACAATACCTTTTCCTGGAAGGTTTAAGAAGCAGCTGGTTGCTAAATACAAAGGACTCTTTGATGAACAGATGAAGAAGATCCAGCTCACAATGCCACTAATAGAAGCCTTTGTTCTGGTTCCTCATTATCAAAAATTCTTGAAGGATGCTATTGCTGAAAGAACCAAGGACCTACAAGGGATGGTAGTCCTCATACATGAGCGTAGCGCCATTATTCAACAGAAGAGAGTAACTCTCAACAAGCTTGGAGATCCAGGAAGCTTTACCTTACCCTGCTCTATAGGTCCACTTCTGTTTGACAAATGTTTGTGTGATCTTGGAGCTAGTGTCAGTTTGATGCCCTACTCTGTAGCACAGCGCCTAGGCTTCACCAAGTTCAAGGACTGTAGAATCTCTTTGGTGTTGGCTGATAGATCAGTGAGACTCCCCAAAGGTTTGCTTCAAGATGTACCACTCAGGATTGAGAGTGTAGAGATACCTACTGATTTTGTGGTTTTGGATATGGATGAGGAGCCTAGAGATCCTCTCATTCTTGGGAGACCCTTCCTAGCCACAACAGGAGCTGTCATTGATGTTAAGAAAGGAAAGATTGAGCTACAGTTGGGCAAAGATATGTCTTTGAAGTTTGACATCAAGCTGATTATGCAGCAGCCTACTATTGAAGGTCAAGTATTTCAAATTGAGATCTTAGAGAAGCTGCAGGATGAACTTCAAGAGGAGTTGTGTTGTGAAGATAAACTTCAAGTGGCCTTGACAAAGGAGCATGGAGAAGATAGTTACTTGGATAAGGAAAGCTTGGGTTATAAGCTGAGGTTAGACTCTCACAAATTCTTGGAAGAAGTAGAACCATTTGAGAAGCTGAACTACA